CTGTATGGCAACATCAACATCATGTAACACTTCTTAATTCAGTCTGTGAACCAAATTTAACATATAAATCCAAAAAAAACAAAAGGTTCTCAAATACAAATACATGTTTTAAACATAGCAGGCCTTAACCTTCTGGATGTTTTCATCAAACTGACACATAAACAAATTCTCCATGAATTGCCAAAATATTGAGAAACTGAGTCTGCTGATTTATGATGTTCATTTTGGAAACCACCTGCACACATTGAGTTGATTTCAGACATGATAAATGGCTGTGTGGTTTTTGCAAAATGAGTCTAATTTGGTAATAAAATGAGTCTCTCACTGACTCTAAGATACGCTCTTGAATGTACTGCACACCATCATCACTTGGTGGCAGCATTTTACTTTTTATAAGAAAGGGGAGTTACCCAGTTAATTCTGTGACCAAAGTTACTTGAATCTCTATGTCTAAACTGTATTTATGTTTTATTTATTTTGATTTAAATGTATTCACTTGTGTATTTCACTTGTTGCTGAGCTATTAGTTATAAAGTTCTACATACAGAACATCAGGTTTATTATTAGTACAGCTTGTTTTTTCTGGCTGGTGCGATAAATGCACTTTTGTTGAAGTTTATTGTGAGCCTTTAGAGCACATTCACACAAACTTACAGAATTTGGAAAATCCGAGTCATACTATGTGTTTATAGTCAGTAGCAGTTTTGTAGGGAAAATTTGCCTCACTCTGCTTCTGGGCGTTTTTGATCAGTAGTTCTTTCACTGGGTAGTTACTCACTGAGTTTTGTAACAAGGATTTCAACCGAATGCATTTCTTTAAACACATACTATATCTAGGTTTAGGTGTCTCCGCCATGTGCATGCTGGGATATGGCCCAGTAGACATTCACCCACCCCATGGGAAGCTTTAATAGTGAATGTGGTTTGGATCAAAACCTTTGTATTAGCTCACTCTTTCATGATAACCTGCATTGTATGTAGAATTCTACTAAGCTACTGTAAGCATTGTATGCCCTGCCCAAGTAGTGTAGGTCCAATACATCCTCAATATTGTATGTAGGGTGTGGTTCCTAAAACCAGCCCTACCTGTCAAACGTCTACCTTTCAGTCATCACTACCACTGCCAGAGCCACGTGCTTTCATATTAAAACAAGAGGCAATACTCAGTGCCAGTGAGTATTTTAATGGTGGGAAGTGTCTGACAGTGGCTGTTCTTACTTGCACAGGAGGAACGAACCAACATCTATCTCATGCTTGGCAGTGCCTGAGAGCCCCTGAAGTGTATTTGGTCCTGTTCCACACTCTACCTCTCAACTGTTCCTACGCCTCACTGCTGCTCCAGCACAGTTTGAAAAACTTTCACAGTAAGGTCTGATGCCATACAGCATCTGAGACCTTTAGCAAAGAGGTTAGGCATTCCTCTCAGCTTGTGTGTCAAACCTAACACTGCTCCAGAATAGAGTCCGCCAGTCGAGTGAAGAATGTTCCTTCTCTCTGCAGCCCCTTAATGGACTTTTTGACCCAGAGACATCAACAGAGCTGCTGATACGCACGTCAGCCTCCGGTTTAACTGTTGCAGACATGACTAATACTTAACTAAACATTTCACTGATATGAAAGCTTGATATAAATCCACACTGAAATAGAGCAGGCCCACATTCAAGTGGATTTTTCTGATTAGACCTTTTATGTTTTTTACTTCAATCAGTACTTTAAGTTGGGTTAATGCTGTAAAGAAATATTTCAACATTTTTGGATATGACTCACTTTCTTGCAGAGAGATGAGAAGATTGAAGATTGCTAGATTAGATTTCTAATTCTTCCGTTATCGCCAGCAGCTGCAGTTAGAATAGCGTAGTTTAGCAACTGGACACAGAGGTAAACTGTTTGGCACTGTCCAGAGGTAACAAAATCCACCTGTCAGCACTACCTCACAAGTTCACTATGTTATATCTCCTTTTTTTATTCTTATATATTATTAATGTATTGTATTATATAATTATATTATGTGTAATTCTGAAACTTAATGCACTAGGTAAGTTGTCAACATACTATGATTTAAGGCTTAGTCTGCAGACTAGGGATTTACAAGTTCACTACGTTATATCTCCTTTTTTATCTATCTATCTATTTAAAAACTGAAATGTAAAAACAACCCTTGCTCCTGTTTTCAGTCTTATGCTAAGCTAAGCTAAAACCATTGACAGAATATATAGGCTAAAACCAGCTGCTGGTGGCTTCATATTTAACATACAGACATGAAAGTGGTATTAATGTCCTCAAGAATAAAATGAAGAGTATTTCCCAAAATGTCAAACTATTATATTATTATATAATTATATTATGTGTAATTCTGGAACTTACTGCACTAAGTAAGTTGTCAACATACTATGATTTAAGGCTTAGTCTGCAGACTAGGGATTTAGTTGCAGGACCTGGGACCTGGGAAAGTCCCTGTCCACTTCCACAGTTTCTAGAAAGAAAGAATCCAAAGTATCTAAAAGTCGGTCCATGTTCTCACCATGATCTCTCTATATGTCAAGACATCAACATTACATGAGTAATATCTTCTTTTCCTCTATGATCTCACTCTCTGCTAGCCTCGGGCTAGCCGCAGATGGCAGACAGCCATGACGTTGAAAATACCGAAATGATTGTTGGTAACTTGGCACCGCTTCCTATCCTATTGCTTTGTGCAACCACATGCAGACAGTCTGCCTGTTCGTGCTGCAGTAATAACTACTAATGTCGGCTTTCAGGTTTTCATGTTGTCTCTCTCCCTTTCCCTTATCTAATAAATCCATCATTAACCAACATTTCCACACATTTTCTTATGATGACTGCTGATTATTATGTCAAGAGGTTCTGCAACAAATTGAAGCAAATCCTCCAACCGCTCCCACTTCCAGTTATGTGTGCAGGGTGGTGGTTTAGCATTAAACTGACAGTAAATTTGACCACCACCATCATGTCATTCCCACAAAAGAAAATAGGCAGTCTTGGTGTTTCTGAATTACACCACTAGCTCCTGCTGCGTCACTCAACATAATTGGCTTTGAGGCAAATAGACTGAGACAGTTAAAAGCTAATAACTCCTCCATTGTAGCTCAGATCATTGTCTTCAGAGTATTATGCACTGGATTTTCATTTTTTAATCGATCTGCTCCAAACTTGATGAGTTATGGCCCATCTTAAGTGTCACTAATAGTTTGGCCAGTAATTATAAAAGGCATATTTTCAGACATTTTGGTAAAATATGTAAGTCACCCGTGATGTTTAGAGGTACTGGTAGGTACCTATGGACAGATTCCTAACATGTTATATTTTAGTTTCCTTATGCTAAGCTTCATATTTAACACACATGAGTGTGCAACAGAAACAGAGTGACTTACATATTTTGCCAAAATAAGAGTTAGTAACTCAATTACTTTTTGGGAGAAGTCATTTG